AAAACGAAAGGAACGAACACTGATAGTAGTGTTATATATATATATATATATATATATAGTTGAACGCTATTACAAACATTATAATTGACATGCTGGATTGAGGGTTCAACAATAGTGTGTAATCACTCCAAGTCCATCCTGCTGGTGCAGGGACATGAGTGTAATATGGTATTCTTAAGGCTGGGGCACTTTGCATCATTTACGCCACTTAAAAAAATTAATTTCTGGTGAATGGTGCCGAAACTATTTGAGTGCTTCTCCTATCCATCGGAATGAGTATCGATTTATCAACATTCGCATTATATAGCAATAAGAGATTAACAATACCTAAAAAGGATACTTTTAGTTGACAACAAGAGCGTACGATGATGGATTACTTTCGTATATTCTATGAACCTCCGAGATTGTCGAACTGACTTGATGTAGTGTGGTCGCTGATGTAACTGATCTGAACCGCCTAGCTGTACTTCTTATTCAACGTGCGATCTTTGGTATTTCCTGAATTCATCGTTCATAGACAATGATAATAATTTCATATTATTATGAGAAGCGCGTCATTACGCTCGGCGCAAGTGCATTGTGAACCCTTTACCCCACACAGAATAAGTGAGCGTGCTGAACGGTGATAAATTGGTATGTGGTTGACCACGTGACGGGTCGACTATTGTGATAGCATGTTGACTGAGATAGTCTAGCGTCCTGACCAAAGTAGCAGTTAGATGTTGGAATGACGATGGCGTCGACTATGTATATGTTTCGTAGCTGGGTAGGGTCAGCGCTAGACTTACACCTCTCTAGCGACAATATGCATATAGACTAATAAGAGCGTGAATTGATTATATTTAAGCCGCGACGATCTCCAGCTATTGATGGTTCGACCATCAGAGCTATCAAGCATCAGATATTCAGAAATCGAATATACAGATAGTTGAATCCAATGCGACACTTGATTGTTTTTAATTAAAAGCAAAATTAATATTTTTTGGCCTCGGTGGTGTAGTGTATAATGTAATGTATGATTTGGTAAGTTAGCATAGTTAAAATTGTTGTTGAATTTGGTGCCGGTGTAGTAGTGTTTTTGAATACATGCTGAACAATTTAATAAATCAGAATGCTCTTGTATATCAAATGCATCATACATGAAATGGGTAAGAATTTGCGTGTATATATAGTGGTTTGTGAGATGGATGAGATGATAGCTTCTCGACGACAATTCCATCTGTATAGTGTATGTAGTAAACGCCGTACAACAGTATCTCAACGTTCTCCGTCTGTTCAGAGGGAAATGTTGTTCCGTTATTCATTAAACCTTAATTACATAGTATGAGTTATGTGCCGATCTAAATCTCTGATCGGTACAAACTAAGTTAACAGATTCTGATATTATAAACTAAGATAATCCAAACTAAAATAACCCTAACAACCCTATATGAGCAAATTCCGACCACGTGTATTTACGATCTCGCCAGCTTGACCTTGCAGTGCTAAAGGGATCGTAGGTAATTACAATCGACTCGCTGTGTCATTGATGTGCATACAATATATTAAAACTCATGAATCCAGTGAAAGAGTAGAATATCGCTATGCAACAAATGTATATACAACTTAGATTGTTATGTTGTATCTCATGAAATGTTCTACAACTCGCTAATGATATTTAGAGCTTTATATTTTCGTGAAACAAACGGTAAGTTTATGATCTATATAAATGAGCGTAATGAGCTCTACAGGGGATTTGTGCCTTTGCAATCCCAAATAGTTAGAACGGCATTATCGCAATTTCGGCTCCGGTTTTGCGTTTCTGTATCAGTATATACAAGTACTTTTCGTGATAAAGATAGTCTGCTATGGTAAGCATGATGAGAGCCGCAAACGAGCATTCCGCTTCCATTGCTTGTACCTGTATAGATCACTATAGTTTGCAAATGTATACAAAACTTGAGCATCATGTCGACGACCGCACATTGGAACTGGGCGATTGCTACATTGCACAAAACAAACGCTACAGTTACTATTTTAGATAATATGCCAAATCCGGCTAGAGCTGACGGACAATTCAATTACATAGCACGATGGATGAAATGATACCTCACCATATAGCCTTAAAGTAGGCGGTATAAACCAACACGACAGGTTTAGCTGTGGGGGTTTGCTTTGTGCCTATGCCAGTGCAGTACCAGAAAATCTACAACTCGTGCATGATTTGGAAGCATTGTCTTCGCATGATTATGTCACAAGTGTCCAACATGACAACAGAATTAGAAAATGTATTTCCGAAACACTATTCTCGTATGTTCCTGCAGAAGAGCATCACATACCACGTGAGTTGCGAACCAGGCAGTGAGATAATCTTGAATGAATCGGCATATGTCAGTACCGAAAAATAAATGACAACATAGGCGATGGCTTCCTTGAGTTCTTCCCACTTCTTTTTGAGTTCCGGAGTCCATAGCATGGATATATTCTGGTTCATTTTTCCTTTCATTAAGTTCCGGAAATGTTTCGTTGTGTGGGCAAAGTTGGGGACATGGTCGCGCATGTAGTTTGCTATTCCTACCGCTTTGTGCAGATCTCTTTTTGTTCTGAGTAGTGGCCAGTCCATCATTCATTTCTGTTTTTCAGGATCTGCTTTGAGTCCCTGTGTGGTGATTTTCACACCGAGAATGTTGACTACTTTGACCGCGAAAGCACCCTTGTTGTGATTCAGTCGGAAGTTTGTTCCATTCATTCGCTTGATTACTTCACGAACTGTCTTGCGGTGTCTTTTTTATGTAAGACTCGCAATGACTATGTCATCTACATACACTTGCACTCCTTTGATGTCTATGAGCAAATTTGCCATTGAGAGTAGTCCAAACGGCGCTGACTTGAATGAGTATTGCGCTCCTCTTGCTTCGTCTACTATGAAATGGTGAAACCATCCTGTGAGATCTCATTTCGAAAAGAATTGTGCTCCTTGGAGGTTGTGTAATACTTCCTTTATCTTCGGTAACACAAAGTTGTCTTGTTCATATTGATAATTGATCTCACGTAAGTCTAGACATGTTCTTACTTTCTTGAGGAGACCTGTTTGGTCATGTTCACCTGTTGATAACAACGGTAGGTTCACCGTTGTCGGTGTGGTACGTTTATATATGTGACCATCTGTAAGCCACCTTTGCACGTTTTCATCCGTTTGTAAAATATACTTGTGAAGTACAAAGTTGACTTTAGCATGCTTCATTTGTCTGACGTTGATTTCACTTGCGGGTACTGTGACTGTGGAGCCTGGTAGGTTGCAATGTACATCAGGAGGTATATTCGCATTGGTATCTAGAAGGTCTGTAACTAACTCTCTGAAACCTTCTTGTTCATGCTCCGGGTCCTCTTCGTGTGGTGTGAGGAGTGATTAACACTTGCATCCGTTGGTATAAGTGGATTGATCAATCCTGCTATGTATATATATATATGTATGGTAGAATGTCTATATCAGGAAGTATTGGTGCCTTCTTGTCTGGTAGGTCCAGTACTTCAAACCACTGAGAGGTTTTCCCACCTCCATAATTGATGTCACAGACTTCAGTTGATCCTGTGCGTTGTATTCTTGCATTTGTTTGTGCTAGTTGTAAGTAACCCGGTTGCGCTCTGACAGAGATATATAGTTCTATTACTACACCCTTGTCCATGCATGAGCGTTGTGCGCCCGAGTCTACTATTACATTGTATGTATTGCCATTAATTTATATATCAATGTGTAAGCGTTGGTCTCGTGGTGCGAGAAAGGAATAAATGTTGATAATTTAAATCATTTGCATCTATTAACAACATTTCTTCATCTGTATATACATTGAGCCTGTCTGCCAGGTCAATCATGTTTGCTTGCATCCGCCAGTTGTTTCAATGTTCATCACCTTCTGTGATGTCTTCCACCTTGCCAGATGTAATGGACAGTCTTGCTATCTGCACATTCTTTTTTGCCCGCTCCTCAGCCTGTTTTCTTAGGACACTTGCTGAACCGATGAGGGGCTGGCATTATCAGGCAGTAGGGACATGCACGCTCTTCACGCGCCCCCTTCGTCTTCCGTGCCTATCCCATTAGCTTGTTCTGATTGGGTGCACCATTGTCTGGTTTATACCGTTTGTTAGCATTGGTAGTGCTGTTCTCGGCTTGGAGGTTTGTCTGTGCGTTGTTACGCTTGTTCTGCGCTCGCAACTGATCCCTCAATATACGCTCCCCTTGCATCCTGGATGCATCTCTAATGCTTGCTTCAGTCATAGTCTGAAACTTAGTGTGTTCAATATCTGACAAGTGTCCGTCACGTCCATCAGGTTGTTTGTCTGCTCTGATTAAAGCATCCACCTGTGCTTGTTGTCCGTAGTACACGAGTGCTTGGTGCCTTTGTACTTTGAGGAGCTGAAAGTGTATGGGTTCCTTGTCTGAGTTGCGGTAACGTTCCTCTAACATCACCATTGTCTTATGCGCACGCTCTGTGCGCACTTCGACATTCAACATCCTATTATGCATGTCATTGAGAAACTTCTCCAATAGATAGTCTACTGGATGGTGCCTGAGTCTGTCAATAATGGCCCTATTGTATTGCTCAGGTTCCTTGAAGTGCTTAGTTGTATGCGTCTCATAATCTCTTAAGCTGTTGAGTACTGATTTGGTCTTCTTCGTTGCATCAGTATAATCTAATAGGTTTCTCACTAGTGCTAGGTACCGACACAGTGGTAAGGACGTTGCTTAGAACAGGACACTACATTGCGCAGATAACTCTATGATGTCTCCACAATTTTCCATTCTAAAGTAGCTATCTTTAGGCATCTTAGGAAATTATGAAGTCTATAGTAGTTTTGCAAGCGTGAACGCATAAGCTCTAATTCACTAATGTATTGACTTGTTTGAATGAGATCATCTTCCTCGTCGTCACCGCAATCATTGATAACTTGATCATATCGTCGTCTGCTATAATTCACTAATGTATTGACATGTTTGAATGAGATCATCTTCCTCATCGTCACCGCAATCATTGATAGCTTGATCATATCGTCGTCTGAGCTCCGCATCCACGAGTGGCATGCGTCGTTTCGGCTGTTGGTCATGAATACCTACCCTCGTCTTGTGTATAGTCGGTATAGGTACAGGTGCTGTTTGTCCCAATTTGGACACAAACTTGACAGATGCTCTTGTCTATTTCGAGACGCATTACTGAGGCTAGTATGGGAACTGCTCCAGGTGTAGGTTGGTTTAACCCACTACCTGTGTTTGGCCCACCTACTGGACTACCCCCTGCACCATATGTGCCCACACCCTCTTCTTCCCCACCATACATGCCTGCTCGGGCTGCTGTGGGAATCTTGAGATATCTGTGATGGAGTGTGGTTGTTGCGGATTATTTGTAAAGACTCTTGCTCTATTTTGTGCGAATACGCGCGCTTCACCCCCCTTGTCTTTAGTAATGACTCGTCTGAAATAAATTATTTTCGAAGTTATTGTACTTGCTATTGTGTTGTTGTTGCTTCACCGCACTTCCGCGGGAAGTGTTTACCATTCTGTATGGTATGGTAGCTTGTTGCGTTGCTGCCTGTGTTTAGAAGGAGTGAATTTAGAGTATTGAGAGTATCTGAAAGATACACGATAGAGGATAGAATAGACCTCTTATCAAGTATGGTAATCTCAGCCAGGAAAGTCCATAGTCTGAGAGAACCGAACTGAGTCTTTATTTGTGTTTTCACTAGACTCAGGATATACTTGAGTGTTTAGGGTTCTCCATGAGGATGTGAAGAAGTGTTAGATTGCTTCGTCTACCAGGAAATGATAAAATACATTTGTAAGATCTAGCTTTGAAAAGAATTGTGCCCCTTGTAGGTTGTGTAACACTTCCTTTATTTTCGGTAACACAAACTTGTCTTGTTCATATTGATAATTGATCTCACGTAAGTCTAGACATGTTCTTACTTTCTTGAGAAGACCTGTTTGGCCACATTCACCTGTTGATAACAACTGTAAGTTCACTGTTGTGGGCGTGTCGCGGTTGTATATGTGACCAATCTTTAAGCTACCGTTGCACATTCTCATACGTTTGTGGAATATATTTTGTGAGTTACAAAGTTGACTTTAGCGTGCCTCATTTGTCTGACGTTGATTTCATTCGCAGGTACTGTGACTGTGGAGCCTAGTAGATTGCAATGTACATCAGGAGGTATATTCGCATTGGTATCTAGAAGGTCTGTAAGTAACTCTCTGAAACCTTCTTGTTCATGCTCTGGGTCATCTTCATGGGATTTGAGGAGCGATTCTCATGTTGCATCTGTTGGTATAAGTGGATTGATTAACCCCGCTATGTATATACCTATGTATGGTAAAATCTCCATGCCTAGAAGTATTGGCACCTTCTTGTCTGGTAGGTCCAATACTTCGAAACGCTGAGAGGTTTTCCTACCCTCATAGCTAATGTCACAAACTTCTGTTGATCCAGTGCCTTGTAATCTTGCATCTGTTTGTGCTAGTTGTATATAACCCGGTTGCGCCCTGACAGCAAGACGCGGTTCTGATACTACACTTTTGTCCATGCATGAGCGTTGTGCACTCGAGTCTACTAGTGCATTGTATGTATTGCCATTAAGTTGTATGTTAATGTGTAAGCGTTGATCTCGTGGTGCGGGAAGTAAAGATAATGGTTGATAATTTATGTCATTTGCATTTATTAACAACGTTTCTTCCTCTGTAAATACATTGAGCCTGTCAGCCAGGTCAATCATGTTTGCTTCCGTCCACCAGTTGTTTCAGTTCTCATCAATTTATGTGATGACTTCCACCTTGCCAGATGTAATGGATAGTCTTGCTATCTGTACATCCTTTTCGACTCGCTCCTCAGCCTTCCTGGCTTGATTCGCTTTCTTCTTGTTACATTCACTGTACCGATGCGGGGATGGCAATACCAGGCAGTAGGGGCATACACGCTCTTCACGTGCCCCCTTCTTCTTCTCTGTCTGGCCCCCTTGCTTGTTCTGAATGTGTGCACCACTGTCTGGCTTGTGCCGTTTGTTAGCATTAGCATTAGAAGAGTTATCCTGCGGTTGTCTATGCGTTATTGCGCTTGTTTAGTGCTCGCATTTGGTCCCTCAACATACGCTCTGCTTGTGTCACAGCCGCTGTTCTTATGTGTGACTCAGTCATAGTATGAAACTTGGTGTGTTTTATGCTGACAAGTGTCCTTCACTCCCACCTGGTTGCGTATATCCTTTGATTAGAGCATCCACCAGTGGTTGCAGTCCATAGTACTTAAGTGCTTGATACCTTTGTACTTTGAGGATTTGGAAGTGTATGGGTTCCTTGTCTGAGTGGCGGTAACGCTCATCTAACATCGTCATTGTCTTGTGCGCATGTTCTGTGCGCACTTCGACGTTCAGTTTCTTATTCTGCGTGTCATTGAGAAACTTCTCCAAAAGATAGTCTACTGGGTGTGATCTGAGTCTATCAATAATGATCCTATTGAATTGCTCAGGTTCCTTGAAGTGCTAAGTCGCCTGCGTCTCAGAATTTCTTAATTTATTGTGTACTGATTTGGTCTTCTCCGTTGCATCAGTGGAATCCAATAGGTTACTCACTAGTGCTGGGTACGGTGGCATAGACTCTGCTAAGAATAGGTCGCTACATTGTGTAGTAAACTCTAGATGAAATACTGGTACGGGTTCTAAATACCCATTCAAATTCTCTAAATGCGAGTTTCAATTCTTTTCTCAAATTTATTTTAATGAAAATTGAAAGTACATATAGAGACTTTTTATGTACATTTAGTGACTTTCCAGTGCTATATTTTTTTTTGATGACACCAGGGTTCGACACCAGTTCGGAACCTTTTCATAATACATGGGTTCAACACCAGTTCGGTATTATACATGGACGCGTGTTTTATAGTGAATTTGATTTTTCAAAACCAGTCTGTGAAGAATCTTCTACGACAAACAAAAACATTCATACTAAAATCTTTCTGCGCAGCATGGATAACAATCCGACACCTATACATACAGAAACCTGTCCAGTGAAATGTGAAACAGAAACCAGTGAAAAGTGACACGGAAACCAGTGAAATGTGACACGGAAACCAGTGAAATGTGACACGGAAACCAGTGAAAGTATGTTTTTCAGGCTGTATATCTCTGATAATTGAGTTAGTGTAAACTATATTTGAGTAACATAATGATTATGTTCATATTCAAAAGTTGTGCTTGCTGACATAATAAGTACATTACTTGGTACAGAGACAGGCTCTTCCTCTATCGTTACAGACAAGGAATGCGTATCCAGCCAAATGAGAACAACAGCTGGTAACCACAACGAGAATGACTACGCATCAAGGTGTGTTTTACATTTTTGAGAAGGATTGACGTTTCTCTGTAAGGTGAAACTCGGTAAAGTTTTTATTGATTCCCAACCTACAATTAGCAGTGAACTGCCAAGGAAATTAGAACATCAAACATATCAGGCCGAAATCCATGCATCGGGTGCACCAATGAGGGAAAATATGGCTGCAAACCGCAACGCACGCCTAGTAGCCAAACGAAGCAAGACGCTTGGCAAGTCTAGAGTGTTAATGACTAGCAAAAACAAGTTGTATCGCTCTACGTTGTTGAGAAAGAGAGCGCCGCCTTCTACAATAAGCAGTGGGAACAGTGAACATGTAGAAAAGGAGCGAAAAGATATAGTCAACGTAGATACCAATGTAGCGATAGGCATTGTGGCAGAGTCGAAGTCATTTTATATCGGCGGCTGGATCTTGCAGGAGAACATTGTAGTACGATGCTGCAAACCAGGGGAGTGGATCAATGGCTCGCTTTTATCCGCGGTATTCTACCATTTATCACAATTACTCTCTCTGGCTGTTCATTTCTTTGATACTGATGCAGACAGATGTAGTAAGTCGTAAAGATAACTGTATCTCAACGGATTGCCCTCGTACAAGGGGAGGCGTTGTTCATTTATTGAACTATTCCTGACACTATATTTTGATCATGTGTTTTCCTACTCAGAATTACGCTGAACGGATAAACCCAGTTTCAAAATATAGTCTCTAAAACCTAATACTAAATAAACCCTAATACTAAATAAACCCGAATACTAAATAAACCCTAATCTTCAAATAAACCCTGTCCAGGGACCTCCTGACTACAACTCCCCCCAAGCTGAAGCACAATTTGTGGGCCAGCTTTAAGAATTCGAAGGAGTATCCTGAACAGGTTAGTGTGCTGGCATTTATCCTCAGAGAGCTAGAGCATTGTGCTGGCATTTAACCTCAGAAAGCCAGAGGGCTCGGTTATTTATTCACCACTAGAGCTGGTGACTAAACATTATGTACATGTAACTAACCTAATATATGTATGTCTATAAACAACTGGGTGTTATTTACAACTGGTCACTGCGACGTTTACTGGCTCGTGTCTGTGTATCTTTATGATAAGCTACAATGTCATTAGCATCGTCAAAAGTATCGACTGTTTCCCATGTTGGCTCACCCTCACGCCAACGTACAAGGTATTCCAGCTCCCCCGTGTCATCGTTCGTCCGATGTTTGATAATGTGACGGAATGCTGCACCACCTTCATGCCACAGATCATCGTGCAATGGAGGGTCTGTACTGCGGTGGACCAACCGTAGTCACTTTACGCGAACCGGCTTCCCTTTAAACTCCTGGGGAGTGGACCCACCACTATGTGTGAGATCATAGCCCTGACCGTTGCGACGCTTGACTACATACGGGCCAAACAGTGGGCGCATAGCTTTGAAAGTGCGTCCCTCCGACTTCACCATTACTACATCACCTTCCTCGAAGTGAACCAAGTCATGGGCATGTAGACGGTCAAATGTCTTCGTTAACTTGTCCGTATATGTCGTAGTGATCGTATACAACGCTGGCAAAATCGTATCCTGCAGCTGGTCCAGCCGTTGTGCCCACGTGTCATTGGTCACGGGTTGTTGCTCGGGAACATCGTTGGTAAAATCCGCAAACGGAACATGACGGCGGCCGAAATATACGCTAAACGACGCGCTTTTGTGTCGTCGGGAGATACACAAATTCTGGTAAGGCACGATAGAAGGTAGCCGTTCGTCCCATGCCTGAGGTACTGCCTCCAGCAGTTGCGTATAGAGCGTGTTATCTTCTTGTGTCGACGTTCTGTTGCACCCAGTACTTGCGGTCTGTATGGTGGTGAGATCTTATGGAGTATACCCACTTCTTTGACAATAAGAGCTACCATGTAATTAGTAAACTCCGTCCCCAGATCGGTCTGCAACTTGCATGGTAATCCATGTTTACCGAAGATGGCCAGTAACATTTGAGCGGTTGTTTCCTTAGTCTTATCGGCTGTGGCGCGTAATATCGAGTATCCGGATGCGACGTCTAACACATATAAGACAAATTTATTCTGTCGGGACGAAGTTCTGTTGCACCCAGTACTTGCGGTCTGTATGGTGGTGAGATCTTATGGAGTATACCCACTTCTTTGACAATAAGAGCTACCATGTTATTAGTAAACTCCGTTCTCAGATCGGTCTGCAACTTGCGTGGGAATCCATGTTCACCGAAGATGGCCAGTATCAATTGAGCGGTTGTTTCCTTAGTCTTGTCGGTTGTGGCGCGTAATATCGAGTATCCAGATGCGACGTCTAACACATGTAAGACAAATTTATTCTGTCGGGAGGATGTCACCGGCATTGGGATATAGTCCACCTGAATATGGTCCCATGGGTACTTCGCATCAATACTCATCATCGGATGGAACCCTTTACGCAATGTGTCCTGGCCCAAAAGTAGCTAGTTCTAACGCCCCC